TATGATAGATCCAACTGTCATACACTACCATTCAAAAATATGGGGTCAGTATGATACTGCAAGGATGTATTAAATTGATCAAAAGTGACAAAAAGACATTTATAATGTTACAGAAGATTTTGATCACAAACCAAAGAATCCTGAAAAAATGCACTAGAGTTTCCACACAGATATGAAAAAGCAAAAACTATTTTCAACATTGATAATAATAAGAAATGTTTCTTGAGCAGCAAATCAGCATATTAGAATGATTTCTGAAGGATCATGTGACACTGAAGACTGGAGTAATGATGCTGAAAATTCAGCCTTGCATCGCAGAAATAAATTACATTTCAAGATATATTAAAATAGAAAACAATTATTTTAAGTTGTAATACTTTTTTTTACAATTTTACTGCATTTTTGATCAAATAAATGCTGCCTTGATGAGCTTGGTGAGACTTCTATATGAGAGATGGATAAAGAGGTCAGAGGTCAAACACTGCAATACAAACCCTGCAACCTTTGCATAGATCTAAAATGTCATACTTTGTCATATGATACATAAACTCCCCTTTGGCTGTATGTCAGAGTCCCTCTCTGGTGTCAATTGGTTGTAAATTTCGTTGGTCATAGAAACTCACAGAATAAAGTGAAGCCTGCAGGGTGTAAATGAGAAATCTATTAAAAGCAATAGCATTGAACTCTCTTTCTGCTTGACACACACACTTTAACACCTTTAAAATAAACACATGCTGGAGCATCTGAACTGCCTGCAGAACAACAGAATAATGCAAACTAATTCAAGCTCCTTCCATGAACACAGATTCTTACCATGGTATTACCATAACATTTAAACGGAAAAAGGGTTTCTTAGGATGCTTCCATAATGGTAAGACCTTAAATTGCCTTCACTATGGCAATCAAACAGTGCCATGGTATCAGTTTTTGTAAAGGTCAATGTAGACACATTATTTTTTACAAAATACTGTTTTCATATGGTACTGCCTGAAAGATGTAGACATGCAAATTAATGTTAACTGTTAACTTTGGATTCTTTGCTGTGAAATTAACAATTTGCATCATAGCTCTTGCTGTTTTTTGTATTTACGTTCAGGCATTTGGTAGAGGTTTTATTTCAAGTGACTAATTACACTGCTTTTAAGGCATAGGTCTCTTAGTCTGAGCAGTGAAAACAAACTTGGCTGCCACCTAAGGTCACTTCAGGCTGTTTTAAACATTTTCTTTTGCAGGAATAAACTGGGCCACTAAAGCTAAACCTGCTTTAGACTAAAGTCAGAAGTCCGTTCTCTCTGAAGAGGGCTGGGATATTCAGAGATGCCCCCCTTTCTATCTCGGTCTGGAGCCTTCATCAAGACTCTGTTTAGATGAATTATGTATTGCATGACAGTTGAGATGTTTACGAGTTATTTGTTTGAACTTTCTATTCATCAAAGAATCCTGAGAAAAACGTATCACGGTTTCCACCAAAATATGAAGCAGCACAACGGTTTACAACATCGATAATAGTAAGAAATGTTTCTTGAGCAGCAAATCAGCATATTAGAATGATTTCTGAAGGATCATGTGACACTGAAGACTGGAGTAATGATGCTGAAAATTCAGCCTTGCATCACAGGAATAAATTGCATTTTAAAATATATTCAAATAAAAAACTGTTGTTTTAAATGGTAATAATATTTCACAATATTACTGCTTTTACTGTATTTTTGAACAAATAAATGCAGCCTTGGTGAGCAGAAGAGACTTACTTAAACATTAAGAAACTAACCCCAAACTGAACAGTTTAGACCAGGGGTGCCCAAACTCAGTCCTGGAGGGCCGGTGTCCTGCAGAGTTTAGCTCCAGCTTGCCTCAACACACCTGCCGGGAAGTTTCTAGTATGCCTAGTAAGATCTTGATTAGCTGCTTCAGGTGTGTTTGATTAGGGTTGGAGCTAAACTCTGCAGGACACCGGCCCTCCAGGACCGAGTTTGGGCACCCCTGGTTTAGACATTTATGAGTTCCAGACTGCATTGAATTTACTTTGACTGGCATATATTTGTCTAAACCAACTTGGTTTTCATTTTTAGCCTTTTATCTCTCTCTTTTGTTTGAGTTTGCTAGTTTTCTGACCGTATTTTTTTTTTTTTTCTGTTGTTGTGGTCAAATTAATCATTTACAGTCCTGTGGAGCTCCAGCAAACTCATGACACCACATATACAACTGCTCCAGATCTGCTTAAATGTCACACAATACACAGCAAATAGAAATAGAATACAAGATATGCAATGATGTCATAAAGGAGAATATGAAAACTTGCATTTACATTTAGAATGTTCCATCACAGCTGTCTCATCCTTCCTATGAACTCATAAATGTTTCATGATCCTGTCACAGGCTAAAGTCACTGTCTGTTTGGGGAGTAAAACAGCAAATAGCGCTGCAGTGGAATGAAGCTTAAATAAACACCAATATAACGCTGTCAGTGAAGAGGATGGGATTCACTTCCCTTTGATTTTCATTAGGACAGCAGAATTGGGTTTCTTATTATGGTAGTTTATCATATTTTCCACACATCAAGGACACCAAAAATCATTCGCTTCCAACCAAATTGTATTTTCAGGCTTTGCCGATAAAGTCAAATTGATTTTCGTTAGTATTGACAGTTGTGTGCAAACTTTACAGACTTGCTCAGTCAAAGAGAGCTTCTGTAAGCATGCCTTCAACCTGTGCTGGGAAGATAAATACTATCTTATCGAGAGAAAAAAAAAAGATTAGTGTGCCAATTTCAAAAAATGATCTTTACTTGTTTGTAGAGGCCAATGCAAAGGACAATGACTCATTGTCAAGATAATAATTTATTGAATTAAGTTATTTGCTGAGTGACAATTACTGATTGACAGTTAAACATACGTTTAAAGGTCAGAAACAGTATTACACCTGAATTTCACAGAAAAACAGTTAAAGCCAAAACACAAATAAACATGTTTAGACAAAAGTGTAAGCAGCATAGGTTATTCATTTTAAGGCAATCGTTGTGAAACAATAAAGAGCAGGATGCCAAACTGCCACAAAGATAATGGTGTTTTTGGCTGGTGGTGGGTGTTTTGCATTGCTCAAGCATTCACAATCATATCACAGGCCTGAAAGATACTTTATGCAAGTACGTGAACGCTAAAGTTTCAAGCAATTTAAGCTGAAATATATTCTGAAATGTGTCAGACAGCCATTTTTAAAGTGTAACTATTAAAATGCGTAACTTTGTGTTGTATTCTCAGTGTTGCCACAAAGGGCGCTATAACAGGCATTAGCCTAAATTAATTTCTTCTGTGGTTAGTTTTCTCTCTATGATCATCTACTGTCATGACATAGCAACATTTTTTTTTTTTAAGATAAATTTTTTTAGACCTTTATTATGATAGGACAGATCAGAGCTGACAGGAAGCGAAGTGGGAGAGAGCGGGGGCGAGCTAGGGAAAGGTCCTCAAGTCAGGATTCGAACTCGGGACTCCAGTAGCGCAACGGTGCTGTATGTCGTATGATGTATTGGCGCCGACAAACATAGCAACAATTAGTTAAAGTTAGTCAAAGTCAGCATGTGCATAGCTAGAAACCTTAAAGGGGTCATATGATGCTGCTAAAAAGAACATTATTTTGTGTATTTGGTGTAATGAAATGTGTTTATGCGGTTTAAGGTTCAAAAACCACATTATTTTCCACATACTGTACATTATTGTTTCTCCTCTATGCCCCGCCTTTCTGAAACGCGTCGATTTTTTCGTCAAAGTAGTTTCGCATTCACAACGAAACACAGTGCCTTCACGACATGGCGGCAGCAACAAAACTACAGCAAGAATAAAAGTCACGCCTTCTTTCATTGCATGAACATTTGGGAGGCGTTATGCAAATCTTCCCACATCGTGACATAGACATGTGGGGGCGTGTTAGAACGAGCCGTTTTAGGTAGACGTGGTTGACTCTTAACTTTTATAAAGAATATCTCTTTGGATCTGAGACTTTAGTCTTTGCAACTTTACAGATCTTCTTTATGCACCAAGAGCTTGTAACACTCCAAAGAGAAAGGAAAAATTGAAATCGCATCATATGACCCCTTTAATAATAACTAATTCAATTAAAATCACATTTGAAGGAAACCATCTCCCCCCTGAGAACTGAGCTTTATAATGCAATCATGCTTGCAAAATATGTACAGTGGGACTGCATATTTGCATTCACGTCTGCATTTGTGCACTTGCATAGAGTATGTTTCCAGATAAGTTAGTCATGAAAAGATTAGTGAGATTCTTGCGACATTTTAGATTAAATTCACACACAAAACATTATACAGTATGCTTTAAAAGAGATATATTCAACCTCTGGAAGCATTAGGATTTTCCCTTATACATGAAAAACAAGACTTTTTGTGAATTTTCTCAATTTTGGTACTTCGCTGTTACAGGATTATAGTTTTAAGGGCAGACAATTTCAGTACGACTGGATATAATCAACACACATTTATCGATGTAAAAAAAGTGCATATTTGTAATATTATAATCTTATTGCTATAGTAACAGTTCCACAGCCTCATGCTTTATTGGAATAATTAAGTAATAATTAATAATAGTACAATATAATCATACATATTGGATTTCAATAATGCACTATGGATTATTATTGCTGTATAGAGTTGGAAGAAGTTGTAGGGCTGCACAATTTGGGGTAAAAAAAAATCTTATTGCAATTAAAAAAAAAATTAGGTTTGATGTGCTTGTTGTTAGGGTTGCACAATTTGGCCAAAATTTTATATATCAATATGGCTATTAAAAAATAATAAAAAACTAGTAATAATAATAATAATAATTTTTGTTAAAAAATATAAGAATTATTAAATAAAAACAAGATAAGAAATATTATTATTGTAATATTTTACTCTAAAATAAAAAAAGAGTATTTAAGAAATAATAATAATAATAATTTCATTTTATATGAAACATTACAATACTAGTATTTATTGCTGTCTTTATTTAAAAAAAAATCAAATAAACTTTTATTTTGACAGAAAACCGCAGCGAGCTTCTTTTTTGTTAACAAGCGTTTCCAATTACAAATATGGGAAGATGGTTGGAGGATGTTCCATTCCCAATTTACTACTAAAGCGACCAAAAATTAGAGCAGATGCAGAGATGGAGATGGTGTAAAAAAGCGGCATTTACCGCAATGAGATGCTCCGAATAAACTGGTCACTTGTAAAAACACATTGCCGCTCGCTTCACTCTGAAACACACAGCGCTTATATTTATTTACTTAAACCACAGCCATATTGCAATTTTCAATTTTATTTTAATTAATTGTGCAGCCCTAGAAGATAGTCACCTCTGAGTTCAACAACATCCCCAGCACTTGTCAAGATAGATGTCTTCATCTTGGCTTGTTAAAAAGAGATAGCGGTTTCCACACTCCTCCCAGCGAGAGATCCTTCCATCATCCACCAGGATGAACTTCCACTCCACCTGGCTCTCCACAGGGAGGCTGATAGTGTTGGCCCAGAACCCGTGCTTGGCTTTCCGCAGTGGAACAAATCTCTCCCAGGCCCCCAATTCCTGCAGGCTCCCGGTAACAGCCACCAGCTGGTTAGGAGAATATGTGATGTAGTGAATCCTGAAGGTCACGTTAACCGTTTGAGATAAAGGCGGAACAGTCGCTACTCTTTTACTCACCGGTTCTTCATCGTCTTTGGCTAAACCGGTCTTGACTTGCCCTTCTTTTTCTTCACTTGCAGTTGGCGAAAGCCAAGGAAGATCTCTGAACTCTGATGCATCTACGTTTAGCCACTCATTATTGTCCATAATAGCGTCCATGATACTGATTTCATTCTTTTCGTGTTTCTTCTGCACTGACGCACCCTCTTCGTCGGTTTTCTTCTCTTGTGAGAGGCTCATCTGTGTTGAAGACCCACCCATGAACGTATTATCCGTTTGGAAACCCAAGTAGTTCTGGAAGTCAAACCTGCTGCTGTGGTTAACCATGGTCTCCACAGCTGGGCTCAGGTTTATGGCGTCTGTGGCGTAGCTTCCAGTGTGAAACCATGGCTGGCCTTTTATTTTCTCCATCGTATCTGTCTTCTTATCACAGCAACAGCAATCAAAGTTATTTGTTCGTGGAAAACGGCAATCATGATGGTGTTCAAACTTCTTGCTGGTGTTCTCCACTTCTTCCATCGCTGACGTCTTGCTGTTTTCCTCTAATTGGATCTTGCTGGGATTGGATGGGGCTTGGTCTGGAGAATAATTACTTTGAGTTGTGATGTGATATTGATGTCTCTGAAAAATGATCTCCCGAGCGCTTTCAGTTTCAGACAGCTCATCCGTGTCCAAACTCACAGACTTGTCAAGGTATTCCTCAATTTCCTTCTCGACAGAACTGCATTGGATGTCCAATTCTGTCAAACCTACACTCACATCAGCCAAAACCTCACGTCCATCATCATCCTCATACTGAATATGTTCCTCACATTCCGTGTTTTCATCAGGATCCATTTCTACACACTGATCCAGATCAGAAGCCGTTTTTTCTCCCATTTCGGGTTCGAAGTCTGATAGGAGCTCATCTGTAATCTCCTCCAAATCCTTAAGAGTGCTTTCATTCAGGTCTTTCTCTGGCACCTCAGTAGGAAGGAGCATGTTGTCTGTGGATGAGAGGTTACTGCACTTCTTCTGCTTTTCACCCTGACATTCTCCTAAAAGAGAAGGAAAATGCATTACGTCACATGCGCTTCAAGTGATTAAACATTTATATGGGAATTCTTTTAGCAAAGAACAGTCTTTTTTTATCGCTTTACATCTTTTTCATTCTTTTTTTGACTCAAAATGTTATTTGTGCATTAATGTTTTCATTGGTTTTACGGTTGTGAAACAATATTTGATCCGTTCATGAGAAAAGTTCATGTCACTGTTTTTAAATCCAAAAATAGTCCATGTAAATGACCTGAAATCGAAGTAGATTACTTGCCTCGGTAAGTAATAAATCAACCAAAAATCATCAGTAATCGAGCAAAAAAAAAAAAAAGAGAGAAAAACAAACTTTAGGACTAACTAGATTTGCATTTCTAGAAGGAAATACCAGTGCCTATGAACCAGCTAAATAATAGTGTTTAAGTGTACATTTCAGAATTTGGCTGTATGAAATGAGATGCTGCATCAGAACTGCATGCCTTCAACTTTGCATTGTCACTACACTCAGTTCTTCTTGTATTCTGGCAGCTAAACACAAGAGTCACAGTCAATCTCTAAAGCAACCCTCAAACTGCTGCACAAGACTGTGGAATATAATTGCCAGCAAACATTTGGACAAGACAAGGCTTCTCTGCTGCTTTTGCAGTGTAAAGACCTGTTTGATGGTTAAAGAGATGTAAGAAAAGAAAACACTAGTAACAATTCAGTGTGCAAATAAATGCAAGAAACCTGTTCAGACTGACCTCTTAGCTGAATTAAAAACCACAATACTCAAAGCTGCAGGTTTGCAGTGTTGCAGGAAAGACAAAAGTTTGGGGTCTGTCAAATGTTTTAATTGATGAAAGACATGGTAAAAACAGTAATATTGTAAAAACAATAAAATAAATAAATAAACTAAATAAAAAATTATATTGTAATATGTTATTTGTAATGTATTCCTGTGATGCAAAACAGAATTTTCAGGATCATTCCTCCAGTCTTCAGTGTCACATGATCCTTCAGAAATCATTCCAAATTTCTTATCATTATCATTAAAAATCTGCATTCATTTGAAAGTTATAATTTTTTAAAATTATAAATGACTATATCACTTTTAAACAATTTAATGTATCCTTGCTGCATAGAAGTATTCATTTAAAAAAAATGATTGACCCCAAACTTTTGAATGATAGTGTATATTTACGTATTTTCTATATTTTATTATTATTTAATTTTTTGTGCCTATGTGTGGCTTTATTGTAATGTTTTAGACAGAGCATTGTTTTCTACGTTATTAATTATTAAAAACTGAAGCATGACATCATATCCTATTTGTTGCCATGTCCAAAAAATGTTGCATGCTCTAGTCGTGTGACCTAGATTTGTATAAAATTATTCCAAACATTATGATAACCAAAATCAATAACATAATCAATAGGCCTATCTAAAACCCCGCCTTCCAAATTTCAGCCTGCAAACGTGCAAAGTGATGGACATGCAGAAAACGATTCTGATTGGATAAGTTTTCTGACTGGCCAAAAAACAGCGCGTGCCGCTCACCAAAACACATTTTTGCCGTGTATGGCTGTCACATCGGCATGTGTGGTTTTGCCTGTTACAGTGACATCTGATAAGTCATAGTCATATTTTACATGTGGTATTGCAAAAAAAGTCTCGCACAAACATTTAGCACCATGTTTCAACAATTGTCAGGTTTTACCTGTTGACTCGGTAGGTCGATCATCCCTCTCTCTTTTCCTCCGAGCCGTGCTCCCTTCTCCCGTCGCTATCGTCGTTTCGTTGCCGTTATTCTCGCCACCCTTCCCGCGCTGACCTCTAAAGGATCGGTAAATGAAGAACGCGGCGCACACCGACAGCATGCCAATGATCCCCACGGCGACTACGGCACCGAAGCCGCCGATCACATCCAGCAGGGAATGAATATCGCGCCGGTCCAGAGCAATCGGTTTGCTCTTCTTCATGGTCATGCTGTGGGTGAAAAGCGTCAGTGTAGATGTAACGGTGCCGGTGATCATTTCATTCTGAGCGCCGCGGGCGAAATGAGCCTTTGATGCGGCAGAAGATCAAAAGAAGCCCCGCAATCAGGTGAGCACGCTGCCAATGTGTCTCTCTCTCTCTCTCTCTCTCTCTCTCTCTCTCTCTCTCTCTCGATCAGTCGCTCGCTCGATCTTTTTCAATTTTGAAGTAGGCTACTTTGTTATCTGACATTTTTATGGTGCATGTTCATTCTATCCATTTTTTAATGTAGTTTTGTGTTTTTTCCTTATTCCGTGCCACATGATTTTATATTATTTATTTTATTTATTTTTTTATTTTGGAAGGGGCAAAATGTGTGTGTTTTTTTAAATGATGATTATTATTATTATTATTATTTTCCACGTTTTTTCTTCATGTTTTTTTAATTTATTTTTTGTTAATTATTATGTTCTTTATTTATAGATTAATATATATTTATTTTGCTATTCTTTTCTGCACATTTTTATATGAAAGCCTTGAATCACAAGGGGATTTGAATGTCTCTCCCTTTTATTTTTAAAGTAAATGTACATTTTAAATCTTATTTTTTTGTAAACTTATTTTGTTTTGCATTCTTTCTTTATATTCTTTTTGTTTATATTTTGTATTTTTTATATCTGTACTCTTTTGTTTGTTTTAATTCTGTTTTTTAATTCATAATTATTTATAATTATTTTTTACCTTGCAGTTCAGGATTGCAGTGTTACATGCAATATCGCACATAGTACATTATCTTACACCTAAAAGAAATAAAGAAAACAAATTTGAATACAATATATTTATGAGCTGCTTTTTTCCTTTGATGGCATCCACAATAGAATTGTTGTTTATTTAACTCACTGCTGGCAATTTTGTCCCCAGAACAGGTCAGAGACACAGCGACACACTGCAGCTCTGCCACTCTGTCACAGTCAGTGCTGCTGATATGCTGGGTCTTTTGCTCAGAATGGGACTATGTCAAAGTTCAGTTATTGATTAAATGTGGAACTCACTCTATAGCTTTAAATAAACCAGCACAAAAATATCTGATAACCTCTGATTGATCAGACAGTAGCTTGCTTTGGGTGTTTTGAGTTTTGTTGTACATGAGACAAACACAAGACATATTTAGCAACCCATGTGATTGCTTTAGTAAAAGATGTTAATATTAGTGTTATGTCAAATGCACAAGATTAAATTTGAGCTCGAACATACATAATGGTCATCATTTGATTTTTGCACCCTCTGATAAAATTGGTTACATTTTCTACAACAGTTGTTTCTTTATCCATTTATTGATCTGTTTATTAGTATCAGAGGCCAACCAATAAGCACTGTCAATCTTCATGTGAGTTTAGAGATGATGATTTTTCACTTAAAGCCCGTTTGGTTCGGTTGTTCAGCATGTAGCTTCCACAAGTGCAAAGTGTTGTTTTGGTACAACAGATCATCTGCTGCCACCTGCTGGTAAATTATGCTAAATGCATTTTAAGTTTTATTTAAATAGCTGTTTCTACGATGTGCAACATTTCCAAAAGGACGAAAAGCATGTTTCAAAGAAGATTTTTTTTTAAAATTATGTTTATTAAAACATGCTAGCAATTTGTTTAAACATGTTAAGGACTAGCAATGTGTTAAATCATGCTAGAAATATGCTAGCAACATGCTAAAACATCTTAACATGTTAACAATTTACTAAAATTACCAATATTATTGTTAAAACGTGTTAGCAACTTGTCAAAACATGCTAGCAATTTGTTAAAACATGTTAGGAACATGCTAAAGCATGTTAGCAACTTACTGAAACTGATTGACTTTCTGAGTAAAACTTTCAAACAGATAGTTTGTCATCAGACTTTATCCAGTTAAATTATGTTGTAAATATCAGCTTCATATCAGCTATTGTTGACAAGAGATTGGCAATTAAAAACATATCAGTCAGCTAAGTAACTTAATTACATTTTTAGTAGTGTGAAAGTAGTTCAGCTCTTTTCAAATTATTGTACTCCTTTTGACTAATATATAGCCTAAAAGATAGGCTAATGATGTCCTCTGATTAACAGTAGAATGAACAAATTTCTTGTCTTATGGATGCATTGTGCTTATTGAAAATAAACCCAGAAAAAGTCTAAAGGTGATTGTTATATTTGCCAAATATAGTAGAGAGAAAACTTAAGCCATATATTCAGTACAGTGTGTCTCAGTGTAGAATGTGTAGAGCTGCTGGATTCAGTGCAGCAGGATGAAGGAGAGCAGAGAACAGCAGAGGAACAGGAAGCTCTGAGTGACACTGTTAGCACTGTTAGCACTCTTGGTGGAGCTCTGCGTGGAGCCCAAGCTCTGGGTGGTGCTTTGGGTGGAACTCGAGCTCTGGGTGGTACTCTGGGTGGAGCTCTGCGTGGAGCTTGAGGTCTGGGTGGTGCTTTGGGTGGAGCTCGAGCTCTGGGTGGTGCTTTGGGTGGAGCTCGAGCTCTAGGTGGTGCTTTGGGTGGAGCTCTGCGTGGAGCTTGAGCTCTGGGTGGCGCTCTGGGTGGAGCTCGAGCTCTGGGTGGTACTTTGGGTGGAGCTCTGCGTGGAGCTTGAGCTCTAGGTGGCACTCTGTGTGGTGCTTTGGGTGGAGCTCGAGCTCTGGGTGGCGCTTTGGGTGGTGTTTTGGGTGGAGCTCTGGGTGGTGCTCTGGGTAATACTCTGGGTGACATTATCACCATTACACAGGTTCCCCTCACAACATGTTAAGTTCAAAATTGAAGGAATGAATGTTGTGGCAGCACAAATAGATTTAGAGAGACAACCTTTGGAAGCATAAGTCCCTAATTAAAACAAAGAAAATAAAAAGTGGATTCATTACCTGAGATGACATAGTGTCTAAGCTGGAAATTGGCATGTGAACTGTATCAAAGTCTCAAATACAGAAGAGATATTCCTCTTCTTCCTTCAGCAGATTCTCACCTGTTGCATTAAAGCAGCGGACTTCACTCCCTGAACAGTTCACTGTGTTTGAGCAGCTCTGTGTCTTTCCATTGGAAGTGTTATTGCTGGGATCTACAGGAGGGAAAATAAATGTGCTTTGTTGGTCCTGGTTTTATTGTGCACACCACATAAATGCTCATTGTACCAAAGAAAACATTTTGTTCTTATAAACCTTCATAAAATTGCAATAACATGCTCTCCCTGTCTTTTTCGGCTGACGTCACAATTGCCGATAGAAAATCAAGTCCCATCTTACATTTTTTTTCTTGATAAATGTTTACTGTTGAATGTAAAGTTCAATACCTGGAGCATTTTGTGTGTTACACAGATCTGTGTCACAGCAGTAAAAAGTTGATGGACCCACTTGGACAACCATTTGATAAAAAACATCTTTTAACTAAGAGTTGTCACCTAGAAAGCACAAATGATACAGGAAAGACCAGTTCAACTACACATAATTTTGATGAAACGTCAGTTTAGAAATCGGATAAAGTAGAAACTTTCCATAATGTATCAACTCGCAGTAGCAAAGCAGAAAGAAAAGTCTACGTTTCTGGACGTTGATCGTGTTAATTACATTGCTGTCTATGGGAGGGTCACAGAGCTCTCAGAATGCATCAAACATATCTTAATTTGTGTTCTGAAGATGAACGGAGGTTTTACGGGTTTAGAACGACATGAGGGTGAGTAATTAATGACAGAATTATCATTTTTGGGTGAAGTATCCCTTTAAGTGCATTTTTAGCCATTTTATCAGATTTTTTTATCAGACATGTGCTGGTACCCATATGAAATGAACTTATTCCAGCTTGTCTTAATCTATTATATTCAGTATATTTCTATGAAAATGACATATCTAACTGTCTGGAATGTTTGAAGGCTGATAAGTAATGCCATTGAATCTGAACAAATCGCAAACTTATTTAGCAACACTTCTTCTACCCAACATCTAAATTGCCACCAATTCCGCAGTGTACTGAAGTCCCATCTGTTAACCAGTGGCGGACAGTAACGGAGTAGCTTTACTTCGTTACTGTACTTAAGTAAATCTAACTTTAGGCCTTATTCTCATGTCATATATAACTGTGATGTTCTGCAAAACAACACGCTTTAAAACACTTTTTTCTTACTGGTGAAAATCAGATGGTCAGATCTGTTTTCTCTCAGGTACATCGCAGTGTAAGCTTCACAGTGAACATTACTACATCACTCTCGTCAACGTAGTCCATACGAAACAACAAAACTATATCTTGACTCCATATAGTGGTTGTTTTGGGAAAATCCCAGGTATTTTGAGCAGTAGGATTATAAAATGTATGTGCTAATATAAAATTAAATTAAGTAGCCTATATAAAATTGCTAAATAAATCTATCTATCAGTACTTTTTTACTTAAGTACATAAAAAATTGAGTACTTTTGTACTTTCACTCGAGTAAAATTGAAAAAGGAGTACTTTTCCTTTTACTGGAGTAATATTTTATTATACGTATCTGTAATTTTACTCAAGTACTTGATTTGTGTACTTCGTCCACCACTGCTGTTAACCTCTCATACTACCCTAATTTAAATTCTGGAACACAGAATGCTGCTCCTGTACAACCTATCACTGGGTTTCATGAGCCATCTGTGTATATTGGAAGGAATGCATAATAAACTGTTCTCATTTATTCTATTGTGTAGCTTTTGATATGAATCCCATTCTGTTCTTTTTGAATACCATCACGAATCTGTAAATCAGCTTCAGGTTGACCGAATAACCATGGAGGTATTGGGGACTGTTTGTAACTGTTGATGAAAACATTGTAGTATTTAGTGACATTTCTGCAGCCCATTCATTTGCTTTCCATGCAAAACCTGTTCCTGCTGAGTTTATTGTCTCCCAACTCTCCTCTAATATTGATTTTGTAGGATGATCTTGATTTATGCCATTGTAAATTAATCCAGTACGCCACAGATAATGTTTGACATCTTGTATCTAATAGAGACTCTCCTGTTTTAACTTGCATTGCAGATATTGGAGTTGTTTTGATTGCACGTGTAATACATCTCAGTGCTTGTGC